GTATCACGTACCACTTCTAATCAATTCCGAGGGCGACCGAATATTCGCGCCAACTGCCTTTAGCAGGAGCGAAAAGATGAAACAATTTGTTTCGTCGCATATCCCATGGCTGGTAGACTTTTATTTTCCGCAGTTGTGCATTTCGTAATTGAAGGGAGGTTCATAGCCGTAAAAAGAATCAGTTGTTTCTGTGCTCTCCACTCAAATGTGCTTGCTACACGCACGGCATCAAAGAGTATCAATAACATCAGAAGTCACACATTGTATGGGTCTTTGAGATTGTGCACTGCTAAATGCGTAACTGCTATATTCCCGGGTACTGTATGCGAAGGTATTATCTTAATGTTCTCACAGGAAGGTCTTTCAGGGTGTGCCAAGCTTTTTCAAAACGGTCTTTTGCATGATATAGGGGCACATGCGGGAACCACAGAACCATGGTTAATTTTTCCTGAACGGCCCTCTGAATACCAGAAAAGGGGGTCCCAAAGTGTATTCGTAAGAGTTACACGGTCCTATGTTGATAATTAGAACCGTCAGTAACCCTTACAAATAGACTGATTGAAAAACTGGTGAAAAAGGTGTGACTTTTTTTGGCAACAGAGGGCTGTTTAGAAAAAATGAACCAGGCATTGTGGTCCCCATACAGTCGATATCTCGAAGTCTGATTGGGCGTGTCACCGGAAATGACGTGGCAGCCACCGCACTTGATAGAAGTTGCGCGGATAAGCTGCTTCCAACACGCTTTGCTGATATCTGGCGGAGTATTTTATCCACACAACATCTATCAAGTGCGGTGGCTGCCACGTCATTTCCGGTGACACGCCCAATCAGACTTCGAGATATCGACGTATGTGCCCCAATGTCATGCAAGAAACCATTTTGAAAAAGCTCGGCACACCCTGAACGACCTCCCTTGTCAGTGCCGTGGTTGTTCTCAGCCTGGAGAAATGATCCGTATTCTTCCATAAAGAGTTTCAGGTTGATATTGGACGACGCGGCAATCTCAATTTACGATACTGGTACCTGGAAGGATAGCGAAGTTGAAAAAGCATCCGATTCATAACTCAGTGCCATTGTTCTTTCTAGATCTTAGGTTCTTGTAGCATTTCGCATTGGAGTTTACAGTGATTGATTATGTTGCCTTGCTCAACAAAATAAAACATTAATTGCTCAAGTATGTGCTCCACAGCGAACAGTGTGTAATAAACACTACCATATCCAAGCATTTGCCTTATTAAGAAAGTATACTCTGTGAAAGAGATTTGTGATCAGTTCGACTGGGGGCGGACCTGTGGAATGGCTATATCTGACCTAATCCAAGCAATTCAAGGTAATTTTCCTTCTGCTAGTGATATATTCATGTTTGATCTGGTCAGTGCATCAAAAGTCACCTATTGCATTCAGACGTGGCTTGGCCTGAATTTCTCCAACCGCATGTGGAAGTTCTTCTGTTGTGGATCACGTGGGCGGTCGACTACATTGATTTGGATTACCTAGAGGTAAGCGGTATCGATCGACAGTAATATTAACTCTAGTAGTTCGGGTGCTCCCGAACAATAAGATCGGAATCTTTTATGGAATTCATTGTGTATTTCTTGGAATACCCCCATTATACGGTAGTCAATCATTTTGAGACTGCCAATCACCTGTATCATCTGTCGCCTCCTTGTTCGTCGGGTTCCTTGATTACGTTTTTAGAAAAATATTGTATCACCCGTTTAGCGCCGCACACTACCGCGCGCACGAAACGGAAGGGCCTAGGTGAAACAGGACAGCCGATCGCTGAACATTGAGTTGCTTCGTAAAATGCGTTAGCTGACCGTTCCATAGGCTGCCCATCTTTGCAGAAGCTCACCGTTCGATACGCGCAGTGGAGTGCGGAGCTGAAGTGGTCACCATGCATCGAATGGTGCAATTTAGCGGTTCTATTGTGTTATGTGTTGAAACCAGCTTTGCTCCGCCCGGTATCGCGCGCATCACATGACCTAAGGTTCCGCGGGCTCTCCAGGTTTTATCACACATAGCCCTGTAAACACTGAGCATTTCTCCTGAATTCTGATAATTTAGCGGTGAATAGGGTTATGCTGTTAGCCTCAAAATTAGAATGAAACATGCTCACTTATAATAATTGGGCTTCTACACTTATCTTTCTTCTACAGTGTTCGAAATGCCTAAGGTTTCGGTCATTGAATGAATTCTGGTCTCCTTGGTATTAGATCAACAACGAAATGCACCATTCGCCAAGAATCTGCTCAAGCTAGGCTGATTATATCGATGGAATGTCCACGTCCCACCCCCCCCCCCCATAATACGCGAGTAAGAACACTCTAGTTTTAACGTGGACTGCGCAACCGCATTGACGTCTTTTGCCTTCAAAGTTTCCTTATCAGCTTCTATCAATTGCTATTGTCTTTGTCACCCATCACAATGTCCAGGTACCACCCCACATAACAAAAGTGAAAGAGAAAAGAAACAAAGAAAAGTAGCTGGCGAATGCACATGCGCGTGAAGCATCAAACGCATAGATCTCGCTCAAATTCGTCGCACGGTTTCCGACACGCGGCATGCCGCACGTATGTACGACGTCGCGCGGTGATCCTCCATAGACCCGACTCAACTCACACAGCCATAGCCACCCTCCTGAAATGAATTCGACCTTACTGGATGGTTGTTTATCTACTGGTGGGAAAATGTTATCACAATCACGATATCTCTCGCCTCTAGTCGACCATTTTGCGGACGGACAGACAGACGTGCATACACACAAACAAACCGACACACCAAACTTCTGGTTTATATAATGAAGTGATAGAAACACCCAGTACTCGCTATCACACTTCTCCGAACATCCACCATACATTCTGAATTCTGGGGAGCGTAGCGGTTAGTGGTATTTCGGGCTGATGATAACAACGCAAATGAAAGAATATTGAAATGAAATGCTTTATCTAAAGTCTGGTTTTGAGTGACCTCTATATTCTTGCGCATATCGTTATTATCGGCCCTTATCAGCCGTTATCACTTTGTCCCCCACCAAATATGTTCCCGTCCCACCCTCTACATCACTTCTTGGAACCAACGCCTCACTGCTGCTGGGACGCGCGCTATGGATTCGTGAAATTGCGTTTTGGCGCCTCTTATCGGATCTTATCAGTCGTTATCACTTTGGGTCCCCCACCAAATATGTTCCCGTCCCACCCCCTACAACATACTCAAAATACAGCGCTCCACTGTTGCAGCGAAGCGCGCTATGAATTTCGTGACAAACAGACGTACACACACAACACACATATAAACGCACAGACATACTTAGTGATTCGCTCCTGGTTCACTTTCTTCTTGGACTTGGGCGATTGACCCTTATTTTGTCCGTATCTGCTTTTGTTCTGATTTCATTTCGACCCTTTCTCCTTCACCGTAATGAACTCCTAGCTTAAGTTCCGTGCAGTCATGTCGAACTGTCTTTCCATTTTTGCAAAACGAATCTTAGAATAGAGTTGATTTTTTTACCCCTTCACTACGATCATGGATAATATGTAGGGGTGATCGGGAGTCGAACTGAGTTTTTACTAATTAACTAAAGAAAGCTGCTGTACCCGGTGTTGGAGGTTTAATTCCTTCTTCGGATCTTTCTTCGCAATTCATGGCTCGCCTTAGATGATAGTGCGAAAGGATGATTATCTATCTCTTGCTCACGTCCTTGGGGGACCTTTTTAAACAGGGCCAGAGTAGGTGAGATGGACTAAGCTCAGCAAAGGGGAGAAACGACATGGATTGCTCCCCCAGGATCCATTCCCTCTCCAGGGCTTAGTCCCAAACAGTAATTAGCTGACCCGCTTAGATGCCCCCCCCCCGCCCCAAGGACATGAGGCCCACTTCTTGAAGAGTTTGAGATTATCATATCAGAAATTCCCTCCTCTAACTTTTATCTCATGAGATGATTATTCCCTCACCGCTTTCGACGAGATTATAAATCTTTTTCGATCGGTGAGTTCGAGTGTCTTCAATCGTATTTTGGTAAAGCGTGGTAGAGGGAGAAAAATCAGATAGAATACGAAGTTAGGAATGAAAAGAGCCTGAACATTTGTTCATCGCCATCGTTGTAACGCTGCAAATCTCAACTAGCGATAAAGGTCACTTGTCGTTATATCTGCAGCAGGGACATTTGCGAAGGTCGCCGCAACACGGTAGTCCTCTCAGTTGAGCGCCTCCTCCCCGCTGCCACGGATCCATGCATTGCCTATCCCTTCATATCGCAATCGCATTGTGAAACCTATCTCTTCGTCTAACTTTCATTATCTTTTCCAACACTCCCCCTTTTTCGAAAGCACCCTTTGCTCGGCCGCCTTTGGTTACTTTTGCTAATGTTCAACCATTTTCTGAAGTTGTTATTTTATAAGCGACTCATCTCCATCTTGGAAATCCTTTCTCTTGGAGTCTTGCTGTTCACTAACAGGAACGTTCCGTTGGTTTCATGGATGCTTTCGTTTTTTTTTACCGGTACATCCATCTGTTATCTATTTGATTCTCAATTATATGTGAATACGTTTTGCACGCCGTCACCCCAATTCGTCTACTTCGTAGACAAGTAGCCCTCAGTGACAAGTGGCTGTTCCCTGTTATCGATAGCGATATGTATTCATCACCAAGATTCTTTATATCTCGTTTTGGAATGGAATATCATGTTGAAAAGTTGTGAAAATTGCCTTCAGTGGGAGTGGCTAATAGATGCGTCCTGCTTTTTTTATTTGCTTTGCATGAATAAATACATGCAAGCATTCGCTCATGCTGGATCAATAGCAGTAGTTGGCAAATCCCGATTAATTCTTAAGCAGCTTCCATAGGCAAAGTTGCTGTCCTGAGAAAACCGTTTTCGGTCATAGCCACGTAGGGGAGTCTAATTGAGGGCGCGAGGGGAGTCGTGAATTGCGTTGCTGCGAGTGAAGTAGAATCAACTTCATATTGTTAAGTCGTTGTTACTGTCATGCTCCTCTACACTTAACCTTGCTGCCAACACCAGCGGCGTATTCACTAACGATGGGCTATTGATTTGTATTGAATTCGTGTTGCCATATGCATTATGAAAGTTTCGAGTACTTGCCTGCATTGCTTGAATAGA